CAAGTACCACAGGGCAGCTATACGGTGAGGGGGAAGGCACCAGCGCAATCCCTGAATTTTAAAGTTATACTTTCAAGGCTCTATCAGCATGTGATGGGTTAATTTTCATATCGAGGATTTCACTAAAGATTGTAAGCACATAAAACCACTTTAATTTAATGTTTGTGAAAACATTTAAGTCTGAGAGCTAAAATTGTTGTGTTATAGATAATCAAAAAATACTTCAAAAAATCTATACAGCATGGTGTGTTCTATTTTCTTAATACTGTTTCAACAATTTCTGTCAAATGCTGCTAAAGAAAACCTCTCTCAATTAAATCAGCGTGAAACAGAAATAACATCAACAAATGCAATAAACTAACACTCTTCTACTATGTGAGAATGAGGTCCCAAAAATGAATAAAAACTAATCTTCAAAGCAAAAAGATTTTACTGGGGGGGAGGGCAAACTTGTTACTGAAGCACAGAAATTATGGAAACAAAGACCTTCTTGCAAGACTTAATATAGAATTGCAACTCTTCAGTCATCTTTGATGACCACCAGTCTGTCCATCTATAACTCTAGAGATCCCTCTCCCATCTTCTTTCTTAAATTTCTTATTTAATTTCCCTTACTGTGGACTACTGTCAATACTGTCAAACTAGACTGGATGTGGCAACCCACTAATGTCCTTTGAGTCTACACTCAGCAAAGCTAACTGCTCACGAGTTGCTCAGCTAGAACCTGGAAGAGAGACACATGTTTACTCAACAGGTTTAGCATCATCTCCCAGTAATCTCCTGAGATTACAGAAGGCATTTTCCCCTAAGGCTTCTACAGAGAGGCTACAGAAATGCACTAGTTAAAAACTCTACAAAACAAATAAACTTAACACATACCTCCAAAAGAAACTCAATCTAATTTAATTAGAAATTATATCTAACATTCCTCCCTGTGTTCCCCTACATGAGAAAACACCTAGATTTTAAAGTAAACGTGCAACTGTAAACCACGTCAAATTTTAAATAAATTGTGCAATCATCACTATGGGCTAGAAGTTAGTTTCTTGAAATACTGTTTTCATAGCACATGAATTTATCTGCTTAATATTTTACAATGGATTAAAATAAGTATGCAAGTTGATTGTGGTATGAACTCGCTCCTTCATTTTGTTTTCAATTATAACATCATCAGGAGATCTAGCATTTATCCACTGAAATGTGCCTTTCATCAATAAAACATTCTTCCATCAGTAAGACACCTGTAACAACTTAAGTCTCTTCAACCCTAAATCCCAGTTAGGCAAACTATATTAACACATAGTGACATTCAGAGCATGAGCACTGGCACTGCAGTTAGCTACTTTTATTAAAATACCTTGCTGAATTGGAACGCCAGCAATGAGTATCTTTTGTGATAAATGAAAACAATCTTCGCAAATGCAGTTTCCCTGTTCTTTCACCAGATCTGTTTCAACTAAAGACAAGTGTAAAACTAAAGTTATCTCTCCTTTTTCTCGTTTTTTTTGGCCTTCCTATTCATAAACGTACTCTAAGTAGCAGCACTGTATGCATGGCTGTACACAAAGAACCTCATTAAAAAAGGCTGTCTTATGTGATTATTCCTCTGAAAGCTTAACTTTTGCCATTTTAGAAGTTTATATTAATGACTGAATTCTTTTACCAAGCACTAGTGGTTTTTTACTTCCGTTAAAAGCAGATGTTTTTCCTTTTTGTTTTTGAAAACAAAGAAAGCTATTTTATTTCCAAGTGTCTGATTTTGGTTTGTGTCTAGAAACTAGTGGCTTAAATGTTAGTATCCATTTTCATTCTGCTATTCATTTTCATTTCTTCACATTTGTCTTTAATTAACCATGGTCTAATGCATTAAATGTAACGCATTTCCGAGAATTGGAACAGTGAACTTTACAGGGTTGTTGTTTTTATTTTTTTTTTCATACTGCTATAAGAATAAATAATTACTAGCACCATAAAGTTTAAGATCAATCCCTAAATCAGATTCTGGGTCTCCTTTCATTAAATAGGTTAGGATGTACCAAGTCTGAAACTTTGTTGGGGAATAATCAGATTAGAAATCAAAAGGTAATTTCTGTTCATTAGTGTATTATTTTTTTAAATACCAGAGATTAAATACTGAAGGGAATGTTAGAAATCACATGTAAATGCCCAAGAAAAACACATAAGACTTTTAGTAGTGTTCAGGAAAATAAATATACAGTGAAATTTAGATAGAATTAGTGGCTATGTTGGCTACTAACTATAATTAAAATATACTTTGGCATTATACTGGTTTAGGATACCCGTCTACCATTGTGTAGTTTTAATGTATGTTTATGCTATAAATAGACATTACTTATACCTTTATTTCTGCCTAGAGGTAAACAAACATGGGTCAACATGAGAGAAATCTTGCATGTGATACAGAACCAACAATAAAGGCCCACACAGCGATCACCCATTTGGATAAAGTGTCACAGATTAACACCACAAATCCTAGTCACTGTTTTACTCACATTATTTTTTATTTCTTATAATCTTTTTTTTTCTTAAATTAAAAAAAAATTTGTCCCTATAAACTCAACACGGCCCTTGCACTACGTGTCCCAACTGTCGTAGGTCCCTCAGAAACGATGCATTATGATCTTTGCAGCATTAATTCGCCAGGACACTGCTGCAGAGTATGCTGAGCTGATCACAACTGCTAGAGGCTCAGAAAGGGCACCACCATCACACAAAACCAGGGCATGATGCCCAACGCCCTGACACGATAGCTAAACAACGGTCACTTTACAGTGTTTCTCTATAGCAAAGACATTTGCAGGTATGTTGAGTCTCTTTTGCTGCTTTGTGTGGACCACAGCTCTATACTACTAGTAAATTTGTTATAACAAACAGATAAAAGTACACAAAAAACAGATTTTTGCCTTTCCACAGTGCAATGTTCTATTGCAGTATAACACACAGTAGCCAAATGAACCCTCCGTGGTTATTACCCACCTAATGTTGTAAAAATACTACTATGACATTTCATCTGGTCAACCATCTTAAAGGTTAATTCTGTTTCCTGTTTGAGATTTTCCTCTAGGTGAGCCATCCCATGCAGTTTCTATTTACTGATTCTAAACAACCCCCAAACTGTTTCATTGCTCACTCTCACTGTTAAGAACATATTGACTGGCTGCCTGCTCTGCTGTTTAATTCATTTACACTGAGAGTCAGGCATGAAGACAGAATTTTAAATGTGACATTTGCAGGCTGTTGGGTCATTTGAAGCTCTGACAACACCAGGGAGTTCCTGACATACAAACTGCTCCTGATTTCCAATCTTCCATGTTCTGAACACATCAGAGATTCTTCCCGGAGGTGCAGATTTCAGCCAAAAGTTTTAAAATCCCTTGTGTTTACATCTCACAGAAAAGACCTGTACACTTTAAAGTTTTAAAATAAAGTTTATGTTTCCTTCAAAGCAAAACCAGCACTGCCTGCAGTGTGCGACTCAACTGCTTAAAAACACCAACTGAAAAAGCTATTGCAGATCTTTCTGAATAATAATTAATATTAATACGATATTGTAAGCAACTTTGACATTTAGTGGACTTTTATTTGTTCCTGTTGATCTTTAGGCATTCAAAACTCGCTCTGTCTGAAACCATGGCTTTATCTAACATTGTCTAGCTGGCTTATTGCTACCCTGATCAACATCGAGTCTCAGTTTTCAGGTTGAAAGTTTTCCTTATCTCAAGGCAGGGAAAGGACTGTGTCATTTTGTCTCCCACGATGAACTGTCATAATCTTCCCCAACTTTCAGTTGATTTTTTCAGAGTACACCTGATCACTCAAAAGATTCCATACTGCCAAGGTATCATTAGGAAAACAGTAATCTGACCTATTCAGCCCTGACTTAGGAGAACTATAGTCACCCATCTCTGAAGCAGGACTCTCATCTACAAAATTTAAAAAAATTTTTTTTTTTTTTCAGAAAATTCTAAAGGACTGCAACAGAGTAGGGGTCTCTGCTTTCTTTAAAGCATCACCAAGAAGGGAGATGTTAAGTCTCTATACTCATATTTTACAGCATATCACAAGTTTTAGGTATGTTATTTGGCCATAGGTGTTTCCACAAAGTAGGCAGAGCCCACTGTGACTAACAGCAAAGAATGAGAAGACATGTGAAAGCAGGCTGGGCAATCTATCAGCAAGACGGACTGAAAATCACACCTTGAACTTTGAGAAAAGAGTAAGCAGGGGGTATAAAATCTTCTGTATAGAAAAGATCTCTTCCTTCTCCTTGCCATAAATTGGGGAAAAAAAACCAAATGCAACATGCTATAATAAAAACTGTAGCCTGCTTTTCAATCCCAGCTCAGATATCGACATCATCACTCATTTATTTACCTAAACCAATGGGAGAGCATTGATATTAAAGAAAGACAGAGTCAGAAACCACAATCTAGGTAAAATCTCAATCTCTGTTTTTTTTTATCATGCAAAACAAACAACAAAAAAACCCTACCAAACAAAAAACCCTGTGCAAAGCAGAAAGTATGACGACACTGCTATAGTTAGAAATAGAAATAGTGCTAACACCTCATTCAGAACTGTATTGGGGGGGAGATCATTCTCCCTACTCAACTTGCATGACAATTATTTCACAATAATGATTCCATACTTTGGCTGCTTTTTCAGGAGAGGGAATATGAGTTAGGTCAAGATGTAAATTCAAAGAAATTAATGGATTTTTTTTTTCCTTTTATGTCAGTAGACACAACAATTTTAACAGCAACCTCTGAAGTGTCAACTGTGTCATACAGTAAGTATCTTTTCATTGCTGTACTCAGACTAAGACTTTCATAATTTAATAGCTGTCATCTGAACAAGAGTCTGTTGGTTTTACATACTTCCAGCATGAGGACATTGATTCTGTATGACCTAGAAAAGCATTTTAAGTACTACCGATGTTGTTTACTCTCAAAGAAAATCATTAAAATAGAAAGACATACCTGGTGTATTATCTGAGCTACAGGAAGTTGTTCAGCATATTTTAGTGGTTCTGTTGCCAACTCATCCTTTGGAAATCTGGGAAGAAATGAAGTTAACATTTATCAAAGTTAGTACATTTACCAAGTTAAATTGCTGAAATTTAAGAGTTTTGAGTACATTACCTCTAAAAAAGTGTAGTGTCTGGGAGATTATTTTGCTTAAGATGAAGAAAAAGTGTATTTTAAGACCTTAATTGACTATATTTCTTACAAAGTTGAGTGAAAGAATACATTTATAATAAATAAATATGTGTAACATAGTGGATTTCTTCCCTGACCAAAGTACATAAACCACAAATTTAGCAGCAGAAACCTAAGAAAACCTTTAAATTTAGTTTTAGGCAAAGTGCCAGCGAAAGCTGGACTGAAATCCCCACAGAAAGTCTTACGCATTTACAGAGCAGATTCAGCACTGTTAACAATACCAGCTTCTTCACTCAATTCTGCCAACATAATTCAAATATGAGCATCTCAAAAGGCAAGAGGGATTATTCACCATTTCCCAATTTTTTGCTGCAAGTGCACATCAGTGCTCAGCTGTGGTAGAAGTTCAACACTACAAACATTTGTGCCTTTGCCAGCACAGTAGTGTGTATTACTGTTTTTAAAAAAGCCAAAGAACTAGCTTGAACAAAAAGAGTAGAATATTTCACAAAGAAAATGCATCATATCCCTTTAACCTTCAAATAAACTGTAGTTGCAACTGAAAATTCAGAATCCATAAGCAGTCTCCTAAAAGAATATTTAAATGATAGTAAATTAATATGAAAGCATGTTTTAAAGCCTTCAATCATACTGCTTTCATCTACTGGAACTGCACAGCATGTGCTACAATTTCAAAGCATCATTCAAGGTTTTCATCAGTCATTCCTCAATCTTTCTGAAGACTTCTGAATATAGGAGTTTGAGTAATATGACAAGAAATGAAGGGGGGGGGGGGGGGAAGATCCCTACAAAAACAAGGTCTTTCTCTGAAGTTAAAGCAGAATTACTTTCAGACAAAAACTGTGGCCAAGATGTTATTTTCCAGGTACAAATTACTACCTTGTACCATTCTAGTCAAAAATGATACATGCTTGCTGGGTTAATTTACCTGCTGACCGGCTTCCAGGTAAGAGCCAGAAACTACAGGCCTAGACTCTGCACTGGGAGTCAACCGGCTGTGGTAAAAGAGAGGACAATAAACGCACGTCTCTTCCTTTTCCATTTCTGAATTTCTGTTACAGTTTGAAATGCTTTTAAGCTCCAAATAAGAGCCTCAATACTCAGAAATTCGTAATGAACAGAGTATGAGGAAGCATGAAAGTCTTTCTGTGTAAGAAATTTAAAAGCAGAGAATGAAAGAAACATGGCTATACTTCCAAGATCATAGTGACAGCCCATCTAGAAGAAAAATTAAGTAAGCAAGTCCTGAACTACTGAAGCTGTTCTACTGAAAGAGCTCATTTACTTACATGGGTTTTAGAGTTTTTGGAATATTATGGCAATGATGAAATTGTACTTGCAACACGAAATATACTGCTGTTACTGTCCCGCACAACCATCAGAGCCTAGAGTGCGCTCAGCAGCTCCGCTGCGGTGCGCAGAAGGAACCTTTCTACTCTTTGCCTTTCTGCTTTCTACCTTTTGTGGAGTCCTGACTGGCAAACATGCTGCTGGGTATTAAGCTGCCCACAATCAGTGTGAAGTTGAGATTAATTCTGTTCTACTGGGAGCCCTTTGGTGGACACCACACCTTGATTTATGGATACCAGTCACAAACTCATTTCTTAGTCATAGTTCTAGATATGAAACTACTGTACACAGAACAAAATATTCATCGATAACTTGAACACTTATCTCTACAGTCTTTACCGGGACACTGCAAATCTGGAAAATAAAACCCAGTATCTCAAATCCCAAAATTAAATATTTGAAGCTGCAAGTAACAGCTAAAATTACTACAAACTGAATGTTAGCAGGCAAGAAAAATAATGCTGGCAATGTTTTCTGTCTAGACAGAATCAGTATTCCCTTGCATAGTCAAACACTTTTCTCGTCAATTGCAGAAAAAAATACCTTTCTTCAAATGTGAAAAGATTAAAAGGATAAAGAAAAATTATCAAGATAATTTTGAGCCTTAGGAAGCTTTACTAAAAAAATAGAGAGAAGAGAATAGTATAAACATGTATTTTAAAGTAATTAAATTGAAATTAGGCTGATACATCAAGAAAGAATTTTTTTTGTTTGTTTTTCTAATTTACTTTCTAAAAAAAATATCAAGTCAATTGAATTACACTGCATTTTATATATATAAATTATATAGATTAGATAGGTGCACATTGCAATATATATACATACACGTCTGCATATATATACACTCATATTATACTATGTATACACATATGCACACAGGTATTTTGGAAGAACAGTTCAGAACTGTTCTCTAAATTTTTTTGTTTCAATGCCATGAACTTCTTGCATATACACTCAATGATGTACTAGCTGTCAAGTCTACAACATAGTTTTGATTCTTCTCTCCTGCAGATAAGCCTCCTCAACTAGATGAGCGTGTATCTCAATCTTTTATATTAAACTGCATAAATTAAAGCATGGAAGCTCAAAACTCGTGACAAAAAAGCTGTATGAAATATTACCCAAGTATATTCTCTACCCGGAGTAAGTCATTAACTTGAGCTAGCAGGTATGATAAAGCAGTGTATCAACAAACTTTGGGCATTTGAGGTTACTAAATAAAATGCAGGACACAGTAAACAATTTCTTCAAATTTGACAATAATAGTGTAGTCTTCATTAATATGATGCTGCAGTGCTATCATCTAAAGCCAGCACATGGCACTTTGTCCAGTGAAAGAACATACCACCTCCTCCTAGTACCATACGCTCAGATCTGTCTCACAAAAATTAACTTTGAGAAGGACATGCGGATTATTGAGCCAATCTAGAACATCAACAAGTTCTTAACTGACCACGACTGATTTACTTTTTTTTCCCCCTACATTTGTAAGCATACATACAGCTTCACAAAGGTTTTTGTGAAAGCTTTATTCCTAGCTCTCGTCTCTTTTTTTATCAACTATCAGAGTACTTCTACGGTTATTCTCATCTGCTTCTACTCATGGCTCTGACCAAGCGTTATTATATTCCCTGTTCATAGCTATTGACACATTAGAAATTAAACTCATCTAATACTAATGACATTCTTTTTAGCTAAAAAAAGGGAATTACCCTAAGAAGTTATGTTGTATTTTAAGCCAAAAAAAAGGCAAAAATTTCATGAGAAAATTACAGTTTTTGCTGATTTTTCATTCTAATTTTCCTATCAACTGATGATACCTACGACAGAAATTGAACTTTATGACAGAGGTACCTTCAAGGCCTCAGTTTTCAAGTACTTACATACAGTCATTTTAGAAAGAGGTTCACAGTGCTTCAAAATGTGCAGTATGCTAAGTTCTACCAGTATAACTGTGTCAGTTAGCTATACCACTTTGAGTATTCATTTTAACAGATATAAGCAATAGAAACTCCTTTGAAGAGAATTATATTACTATGAAGACTCTATAGATCTCGTTTTCACATCCTAAAGCCAGCACGTTTACTGGTCTAAACGTTTGTGTAACAGGTATAAGGCAACTTCCTCTAAACTTCTTTTTGCTTCTTTTGTCTTACCAATGAAACCCTGTGCAGTCCTTCCTTCTAACAAAGGTGGAATCTGGATGCTGCAACAAGAAATTGCTCCCCTATAAGCAGCACAGAGGATGAAACACTGCATACGAAAGGCTTCTATGAAAAAGCATCCATTCTGAAAGCTCCAAGAGCAGGAGTAGAGTCAAGACTTGTCTGTCCTGAGAAAAGGCCAGAAACAGTTACTGGTGCCTAAAATATTCTGCAAGTGGGCACAGAGGCTGTATTTTAAATAGTATTTAAAATAAGAACAGGGACAGCTCGCTGCCAGCAAGATCAAGCAACGTGATGTAGCTCACAACTACATGGTTGAATTCTCTCCCCTGAAGTGGAGGTTGCATCCAAAACTGGCTACTAGAGGCACATGTTATGCACTGAGCCACATGCAAACATTGTCCAGGAGAGCGCTTGGCTGGCAGAAGCCAAAATCATATCAGGGACCATGCTAACAATTAAACGTCACATAGGACTGCAGTACCTCAGTCTGTCTAATGTACAAGCACAGAACCAGCCTCATAATTCTGTCTTCAAGAAAATTACGTCAGTTAGCTTGGGCAGTTTTCCAAGTGAATCAAAGAAAAGCCAGAATCAGGGTAGTACCTCCAGTACTGAGGAGAAAGAAACTTGCTGCAAAACTGCCACTTCATTTTACATTAACCCCAAGATCAGTAACCCACTAACACTGGGTCTTCTAGACTGGCAGAACTGCCCGTAAAAGGCAAATCCTCTTCTAAAAACTGTAAGGGATAGGAAGGTCATGACTAGAGAGTAGAAGAAGGTCAACACAGAAGAGGATGTTCTACTTCCTCCTCTTTTGCAGGGCGGAGGAAGAGAACAGTCCAGGAGAAAGATCATCTCCATTACAATCATCTTGACCTTGCCTTTCCCTTTCACAGAGGGACGCAAGTAAATTGGTTACTACTCTCCTTCCAGAGATAATTTCCAGATGCCTAGGGTGGCATTCACTTTTGCTCAAAATCAGCTATGTCAGGGGTGGAGGGGAAATCTCAGTTGATGGAATTTGTGCTTAAATCACATGTAGCAATTTGAGGAGGCAATTTCACAAAATCAGTTGGCCTCACTGTTTAGTTAATTTATATTTGACGCTTAAATCTTCATAAAATTAAAGGTTAATTTGTTATAATACAAATTTCTTTGTATGTTTAATTTCTTTTGAAGCAATTCCATTACAACAACAAAAGTAATTTTTCATGAACTAATTTTCCAGTAAGAAATGGTCCTTTCCATCTCAATTGAGCATGACAGCAGAGTGCTGCCAACAGTGCCAAAGCAAGCTAACACAGTGGCATATCAGCATATAGAGCATCATGCCTGACAGCTGGTAATGCAA